TTTAAAGGATATAGTATCCAATGGAATTCTTAAAATGCCGAGATGTCCGTTGAAAAGGGCCAGAGAAGCGAAATAAACCCGACGTAGTAGCCACTACGACAAAACATCCCGACTCACGTAGTCAGATTTCACGCTACGGCTAGATGCAACCGACGTACATGCGCGGTGTCTCATTTTGGGGAAAATTTACTTCCGGCAGCCGTATCAGCGCCAGCCGTAGCGATTAATAAACGGATATGAGCGGTGCGGGCAGGCTCTCCTTCCCCGGCCCCCGCCACTAGCCACATAGACACTGTGGACCTGGTGCTGAGTGTCTACTTGGTGATCTGTTACACCACATAACATCCAATTACTTTTTAAAATGGCGGCGGAAAGGGCTGTAAACTCGTTTGCAAAACTAAACCTCAGTGCGATCAAAAAATGTGATCAATATGTGGTGAATATTGAAGACACAGCTTCACAAGTGGCGCTTTACAAGTTCAATGGGGAAAAGCAAGCTTGGGTACGTAGTATTCGACGCATAGTTAACACGATGGTGAATTTTAGCTTTCGGTTTCGTCTGACAGTTTTACATTGTAAGCTTAAAAAGCATGTTAAGTCTAACTTGTTTTTATAATAGGAGAACGTCAAGCATTAGACGTTATTGAGTTCAGCTTCTTTCCATATTCTCTTTTACTACAGTGTAGTTGTTGTGTCGATTTATTTAAATAGGTCTGACGTTTGTAAATTTTAACTGTCTAATAATTAATTGATAAAGTGAAATCCGACGAACTATTAATAAGCTTAAATGATAACAAGCAGTGCTTTCAATAACATTTGAAGTAGATGTCTGCCAGTATAAAAGTAGGCGGCTCAGGATATAGCAGTGGCCGCAAGGCCACCTTTGCTAGGGGGGTCTGAAATTGAAACTCTTGGAAATACGATTTCCAGCTTTCTGGGCATCAAAGTTAGTAAAGTCGATGATGATCGATTATATGCTGGAACCGATCTTTTTCGCTCGCTGCTCGTAAATGATTTATCTCTGTTTGGTTTACTGAAGTAAGCTTACATTGGCTTCTTTCACAACTGCAAAATTAATGTAAAAACTGTGAACAGGCCGCATGAATTTCCAAACAATGAACAGATTAAGTCTTTCATTTCTTTGATCGATGGCCCTTTGCGTGGCTCACGACTTTCCAGAAATTGCGAAGATGACAAGGCCTTACCTGCGACTTCAGGCGCTAAAGTTTTAGAATAAGTTGGGTTGACTGGCGAAATTTCATCACTGGAATGAAGCGTTTCGTTTTGTGCAGTTGATATTCATCCATAAGCAAAGAAGAACACAATAGGTTTATAAAAGAACAATTCTGAAGTCAAATGAATTTATTCAAATGACTGTTTTGGTACGTGGTTTCTTTCAAAAGAATGTAAACAAATCAGTCTGCCCAGACTGTATATGGGAGTACACTTTGACAGCATCTTTGCTCAACTGACCACATGGCAATAGTTTGAAAGCAAGGTTAAAGTTTTATTACGATACTGCTGAAAATGGCGGAATGTTTTGCAATTTGCAATCGTATTTGATGGATGTGTACACTTTTATATACATGAACAGTCAAGGTAAATGTAAGAAATATTTTATCAGTTTGTTTGAACTGAGAAATAAGTAGGCAGTAAGTGTTGTAGGGGTTACACTTTTGAAGTTTTGTTGACAAACTCAGCCATGTAGGCTTCTAATAAAAGCGCTGAACAAGCAATGAATGATTGTTTAACATGTTATGCAATTGTCTGAACTGCTGGTATGTTTCAAACACTATCACACAATTTTGTCCAATAATTTGGTGGAGCCTCAATCTGGTATTCTCTTACATGGCGGAAAGAATAATTATTCTTTCTAAAGATGAAATTTTAAGTGTCAGCACACAAGTACAAGAGAGGTTTTTGCAGGGACAGGCAAAAGCCAAAGCAGCATTGGCAGAGAAATTTTGCATGGTCAAGTTGAGGCAACAGGAGTGGGGTGCTGTGTCGGTTTAAAACATCTGGAACCTTTCTGGACCCCTTCAGGATCTCCTTCTGGACCCTTTCTGAACCCTCTTCTGGAACCCTTCTACCCCTTCTGGACCCCTTATTTTTCATCCAGAAAACATGGGACCATGATTTAAATATATTAATTAGAATTGAAGTAAAAGACGATGAAGTCTACTTAATCAATTTTAGCTCTAGCCTGTGAATACATCTGACATACCTCTTATCACTCCTGGTGAGTTTGACATCTAGTGAAATATCAAATCAGCTGGAGGCTATATTTGTACATTCTAATAAACAATTAGATTATGAACTCCAGATTTCTATCGTGTGATAGCTGGCGAGGACGCAGCCCGAGTCAGCTTTTATGCATAGAAATCAAGGGCGAATAATCTAATTGTCTTAGTATAAATCTAGTAGTCATTCAAAACTTTATCTAAATCCTGTTCACAGACACTTCGAAAACACCAACAAGCGTCCCTCAATTCATTAACAAGGGAACAATGCTTCGCGACTCACTATCCAGTACAGAGTAGATAGTGAGTAGCGTAGCTAATCAGAAAACGGCATGTATGATAGAACGCTAGTAGATTTATACTTGGCTATTATTAGTGAGAGCAGAAACATTCGTGGTTAAGTCTTCATTGGGCCACATATACATACACATGTACAGCATTTATTTCTAATCACCTTTCTGGCAGTATCACAGGAGACACTCATCAAAATGCCAAATCTTACAAGCACGCCGATGAAATTTTTTCCGAGACTAAATGCAAGGTTATGAGCTACTGTTTATTTTCACCTTTCAGGCAATTTTAAAATAATAATGGAAGTTTAATGTTCTTAATACATGTTGGTGTCATTTTCTCTCACTAAATTAACATCTTTTTCTTCTAGGAGAAAACAGAAGTTGAAGGAGCTTTGTTTGTTTATAGTAGGTAAGCATGCCATTATAGTTCTTTTATGCCTGAACTTTAACTAAATGTACATATGAACCCAGGGTGAAGACTGAATGTTCCAGGTAAATAAGTAGTTTACTATATGGCTCATAAAATGGTTCGTCAATTATCTTTTGTTTTGTTTTTGCAGGCCTGTAATTGGCTTATGGGTATTATGGGATTATTAACCAATCAGAGCTTGTGTTATATCAGCTACAAACATAGTCAAGCTCTATGATTAATCATAATAATCATAATAATGATTTATACATAACTATTTTTCTTACTTGTTAGACATAATTATTTATTTCAAACTGTATTTCTGCAATCAGTACAAGTTATATTCAATTATTTATCTGGGAGACTGATTTTGCTGCTTTTCAATTTTCAATTCATTATCACATATTAACTCTTTCAAACAGAAAGTGTCCTTCATTGCATTCTCTACAGACTGTAACTAACTAAGTTTAATTGTCACACAATTTACGTCTCTTCTTAGGTCCACAACTCCAACAAGTGCTTTCTTCATAATGAACAGACTAAACATGAATAATATGATGGAACCAATAACAAATAACATGGAGTTTAAACTTCAGGATCCTTTTCTGTTATACAGAAATAACACCAGTAAGTAAAAACACAACTTGACACAGCACACTGTAAAGCAACAGTGCATTATGCAGGGGTTTCATTAAGGGCTGGGCACCAGGCAAATTGACTGGGTGTGAGCCAGATGATTTTGCCTGCCTGGTTTGACCATCTACATTGTAGAGGAAAGTTTTTCTTATAAAGAATTTCAGTTCAAAAAGTTTTGTCCACCTGCAAAATCCTGTTACCCTCCTGCTGGGTGAAGCCCCTGATTACGGGCAAATTATATCCTTTGGTGGACTTTAGCTTGAGTACACATGAAGACTTGATCAACCCTACTAACATTTGTGGAAGAATACTGATCACAAACAGTTGCTAACTGTTACGAAAAATTGTCTAAGTCAAGTTCTAGAACAATCTTGAACCGGAAGTCATTCAGCGGTGACGAATTTGTATAAGGACATTCCAGAACATTCTGATCCTTATGTAATTACTCAGATTAGAAACTGTGTCAAACTACTTAATAATTTAGCGCCTAATAGAAGTTTCTAGAACTTTAAGCCTCATATATATTAGAGTGAGAGTTTCTTCTGTAGGAGAGATTGGTTCAAATTTGAAGAAGCTTAGTGCTGTAAATTGGTGAAGTTACCTCTCAGAAATAAATTAGTTTGTTGCTGTTACCAGCGATCCTGAGGTTTGTCTGGAAACAACCCTGCTCTACAACGATACTTGTAACACTAACAGTACTTAGCTTCCTGAGTGTTTCAATTATGTACGGTACTCTTACAAGTCACACCCTAGGATTTCACATTTCATTTTTTTTTTTATAAATAAATTGGGACAACAGGATCTGTAATTTGATCTGTTGCTGTCCTGTTGATTAAAAGTGAAATTGGTCATGAACAATATTAGCTGGCTATCACATTGGTCTAGCATTGTACACCTGTATGGGATCATTAGATCTCCCTGCTGTGGCCATAACTGCATGTGACTACCTTTGATTTTGTCAGTTTCTATAGTAAGCCATATTCTCTCTTGCTGTTTTAAATATAGTATGAAACAGAGGGTATTTTTTAGAAAGACTGTATGTACATGTACATGCACTTCTATAATCTTGATCTTTCTGATCAACACAAAAACTGAACTCATTATTAATATTGATATTTATCACTATTTCAGAAGGCATATTTGGTATTTGGTTCTATGACAGTGATGAGTGTAAAAGGCTGGCAACACTGATGGAAACGTGAGTAAAATTTAGCGTTTAATTCGATGGATTGTAATTTATAGTCATTGCTGTGTGAGTAAGTTTTAATCAGCAGAATGCTAATGATTAATATCTTCCTTTAGCATAAGCTAATGATTGGTACTTTGTTTTTTTGTTGAAGGCTTAGTTCTCAGACAGGTGTGATGGGAAGCCCTGTTGTAGTCAATCCACATCCCACTGCAGAAATGAGAAAGGTACATATTACTTACCACAATCTATTGTCGACTACATGTAACAGCAGGGCTTGAAGAAAGTGCTGTCCAGGCATCCAGGACAAGTAGGTTCTCTTCCTGGGCAAGTAACTTTTCATTCTCTCTTACCCAATGGGCAAGGGATTAGGCAAGCCATGTATGAACTAAAATAAAAGAGCAAGCTGCCCAGGGCAAGCAAAATTGCCCAAGGGCAAGCTGGAACTCAAGTTTATTTTGAGCCCTGGACTAACAATAAAACCGTTAGAAACCCATTCTTAAGTGTCCTCACCTGGTAATTCTATTTTTTTCTGTTTCATTGACAAACAGTGGGGTTTGAAAAAAGTGCCATCCAGTAATGTTCTAGAGAAGTAGATTTTCCTGCTGGGCAAGTAATTTTCATTAACTCACTTGCCCTCTGGGCAAGGGCCCAGGCAAATTTCTGCCAACAAAATAACAAACATAAAAAAAAAAATGTATACTTTCCAAGACTTGACCAGGGCAAACAAAATTTGAGGTCTGCTTGTCCAAAGCGTTGTATTGTTACTCTTAAATCGTGAACAGCCTGTAATAAATTAGGTGGACAAATTCCCATCCCCCCACCCTATTATTTTAAAGAGTTTGCTTGTACCTGTAGGTGTACTTGAATCTCAAGATTCCACATTTAAATTTTGGGTTTGATTCCCCACCACCAAAAATGTTTTTAATAAATTAATAATTATCTTTTAATCCTTCCCTCCCTAAAACTTTGGGTTTCTCTCTAAAGGTAAAATTGGTTTCCTAGAGTGAATCTCCCCACACAAGATTCTATCGCACCCAGCTCTCTAAGAATTTTTAACGAATGGATATATTTAAATTGCGTTCTGTACCTTTAATGAAATATTATTAATTTAACTAAATCCAACCATTTAGTGTACACAAATTTTGTAATATCTTCTGTTCAAAGGAAAGTCAAACAAATGCTTCAGAAGAAAAAGTTGATATAATGCAGCTGTTTGCAAAGGCACAGGAGAGATTTAACAATCAGGTAGGACTTTGTGATAAGTGTTCCTTCTTGAGTCCAAAAATTGATGTGTTGTTAACTGAATATGAGTTGGGTTTCCTGCTGATTCGGGAAAGGAATGGGTGACCTGAAAAATTTTGGTTGGTATCAGTATAATTTAACATGTCCTGTTCAAAGGTTTATAAATGGTTTATAAAGATAATATTTAGTCCGTACTGCGCAGTCTCAGCACCCTAATGTTTATAAACATTTATAAGTCTCACTCAATGGAATGCGTATCGATGTTATCTCATACCTTATCCTTGAGGCCTTTCAAGTTCTTTTCCAACAGCTTCATTGATTTTTACAGCTGCGAAGTTGTTTTATCAAGTGATACAAGAAAGAACGAAGCATAAAGCTTCGCATGTCTTGCATCCATAATGGAAGTTGACATGAAACTTTGCATTTACTTCATGCAAGTAGTTGCAAAATGGTTTCATTTTGTGATGTTTTACATGAAACAAAACAAAAAATGTAAAGAAACTCTTTAGGGTGCGCAGTACGGACTGGAAATCATCTTTAAAGCCAGACTATGTACAGTTTACACCTCCATGCCTTTATTAATGAATAATAATTATATGCCTGACAGTCTACTTTAAAAGAAAACTTGCTATAAATGATAACATGAAAAAATACAAATTATTGTGAAAAGGTAGAATTTTGTTTTTGTATTCATTTGAAACCTTTTGAACATTACTTAGATTTTGATCTAATGTGGAACAAATTATTTTCTAGTAGATAGAAATGGTGGAATGGTTAGCTCACTTCATAAGTACTTGTTAGAAGGTAGTTGAACTATGATACTACTAGATGAAAGTTTTCAACAAGGTAGCTATGCCACATCTTCCAACGTTTGGCTGTAACATGTGGCAACAAGACCCAATCATAATGTTAGTTGAATTGTTTGAAGGATTTGTTAAGTGCATGTAGGTCCAGCATGAATATTTTTAAACTCTTGCTGTTTTTTTCTTTCGATGTATGAGCAGTCAAAGACAAGTAGTCCAAGTGGAGCAAATGCTTCTCTTTCATCAAGCACATCTCAAAAGCAACAGATACCACAAGAGCAAAAGGATCAACAGCAGAAATTCCTTCAACAAAACCAACTCCAAATGGAGCAACTTCAAAAACTGTTCCAAACTCAGGAGAGTCAACCAAAAAAACAACGTGCCTACTCCACCCCTGCCCCCTACCTGTCATCACCTTCTTCCATGGGGAAAGCAACACCTAAAGGGGAGGGACAGGAAAATGGTGTGTTACCAGGAGGAGAAGGACAGTCAAGCAAGAGAATGGAAAAAGTTAAAAGTCTCACATTGTCAGATATTAAAGCCCCTACTAGTTCAGGTAGGAAAGCGTTTTGCCAAGCTTGCATTATTTATGTTGTCGATTGAATTCTTCTACGAGTGGGTGAATTGGAGGTGTGTTTTAAATGTAAAAAATATCCAAAATGGTTACAATGGAGATTGTTTCCAGCTTTCTTGCACCTTTTTTGGCTTTGCCCTTCAGTTGATAGACAATTATAACATTCCAGAAATATTTCTGGTTTTCTGGGTTTCGCAGCAAAGATACATACCGGATATTACACGGTGGTGAGAAGCTATGAATTTTATGTTCGATTGGCAAGAACAATATTTCACTCATGAGATATTGTTTTTGTCACAAGAACATAAAATTCATATCTTTGAGCTAATGTGCAATGTTCTTTTTATTATATAGACATGCTGGTGATGCTGTTTTTGATGATTTTCTAAAGATTTGTGAAGATTATCCAAAATTGTTCTGAAGGCCAGACAAACGTTTCTGAGCATTTTGCGAAGATTTCCGAACATTTTGCGAAGATTACTGAAGATTGCCGAAGATTGCGGAAGACAACCGAACAAGATTCGAAGATGTTTCAATCATACATCAACAAATTTAAGTGTAGTTAAAGGGACAAAAGAGAAATGTTATCAAAGATGATATCTTCACATGTGAGGATATCATAAAGTTTTTATCAATTTGTTACCACTCGGTATGCCACTGACTTTTATAATAATTGTAACTATGTACATGTACAGTATATGTACATCTAACTAGAACACTGTCAACGTCATTAGCTAGTAATTTTCACTGACAAACAACAATTTCCCCTTGATTTAAGTCTGTGGTAGAACATTCAGAAAACTACAGGACGGTATATTTGAGTATACAGGCAACTTTTTTGTGCTACTATTTATTCTGGTCTACAAAGTTGCTATTAGCACATTTTGTGGTAATAAAAATTCATGTGACTTGATTGTGATTTCAGTTGGTTCAGGACCAATAGCAAGGACAAAAGATGATTCTTCAATTGATAATGGGAAACCAGGGGCTCAAAGAAAGGTACAGTCAGAACTCCTCTGGTCAGACCTCAGAATGCATGTACAAACATGTTTTTTTTAATAGTTTTACACTTAAGTCAATAATTAAAATTAGTATAATTACCAGTTCAGAAAGACCCCAACACAACAGCTTCTCAGTTCTGCCAGATGTTCATCTGAGGTCTCTTCAGCACAAAGCTGTTGGTGTGTCTTGCTGAGAGATCACACAATGCAAGGATGCTAGCCATCCTCCAAACTTTACTACATTATGTGAGCCTATGCTAGCAAGATGTAAAATAGTAGGCCAACAATACATGCAAAATGGACCCCTAGACCATTACCTCTCAGACTTATAAGTAATTCATCAAGTTAAGACAAAGAAAATCACAACCCTGAAGGAGGTTTGGATACCCGGTCTTAATTAGCATCGATTTTGACGATTTTACCTCTCCGTTTACTCCTTAGTTTTTGTTTCGATCGAGAAGATGTATCAAACACTCAAGACAGTGTTTCATCGGCTATCCAAACACCTTGAATTTCGTCAAAAATACTCCGATGTGCGTCATATTTTCAACTCTCTACTTGGTGTTTGGACACCCCGATGAAACACTGTCTCTCATGTTTGAAACATTACATACTATGATAGTAATTGCAATTTCCAATGATAGTATTTGTAATTGATATGTAAATTATTAACGAATAGATAAGTAAATAAATAATTAAGACTGGCAGTATACTACTATTTGTATAATCCATTGTCAAGCTTACACCATCAAGCAGACACCAAAAAGAAATTGCAATTATCAAGTGGAATATCTTGTCTCGATTAACTACAGTGCACCTGTCTGATAACTAACCCTGGAACATTGCATATATTTCACAATCAGTTCAGAAGATTAATTTTTTTTGTTTTTTGTTTTGTCTTTTTTGTCTTGAATGAGGTTATTTATTTATTTAAAGTAACACGTCTTTAACAAATTACATGTATCACAAATTACAAATTACAGTAACAAAGTACTCTGGTATGGCTACTCCGATACTACAATGTACATTACTTATTTACACCAGGTGTTACTTACTTACATTAGAAAAATGAATAAAATAAAGTAATTAATTAATTCTGACAACACGTATTAGCTACAATTAAATCAAACAGGATAAAAAACAAGAAATAGAAAAAAAAAGAGAAAGAAAAAAACTAAAAGGAAAGGAAAACTTGAAATTACAAAATAAACAAAAAAGCAAACAAGCAACTAACAGCGTAGGAAAGGGGGAGGAGGAATGATTTCTAATCTTGATTTAATACAATTAAAGTTCAGAAGATTGATGGCTCACGACTGGAACTGTAAAAGTAAACTGTTTGATGAGCATTTGTTAGAGAAGAGAGCTTCGTCATTGAAGTATTTGGATCATTTGTTTTTAATTAGTTATTTCAGAATGACAAGAAGGATGTAAGGAGTGTAGATACATTAGCCACACAATCACCAGTTGCTTCACATAACACACCAGTGTCCCAGGCAAAGGTGAGTTTGTATTGTTACTTTTAAATCGTGGAATTTATCAGGGCTGGACATCATGATCAGTAAGTGTTTAGCCACCTGTAGCCTTATTCTCTCTCTCNTTTTAGTCACCTGTAGACTTACAGTATTTCCCACACCCATAGCAAATTTGTTACTTTATGGGTGAATTCTATCAATAACAGGCAATTTCACCCGTAGCATCAAGGGAAAATCAAGCATACCATACTCGGCCGAAACAGGTGTTACGGGTTATGGCCCTTAATGACAGCCCTGTGTATTTCAGAAAGAAATGAAATAACTGTTTAATTTTGTCAGACAGCTTGAAAAGCTGTGTGGCAAAAGCTTGTTTTCACTTACATCTAAGTAGTAATTTAGACATGCTGAGCATGTACATGATTGGTCGAATACTGTCACGTTAACCGTGTCCTACACTGCCTGCCTGTAATCCTTCCATTATGGAATCTAGTGGGGAGGGGGAGGGGGGGTTCCCTTGACCTAGTTTGACTGTATAAAAATCATGTTTATTGCGTAGCAAATATCAAAAGAGTGCTGGCGAAGAATTAATTTCAAGTGTATCAAACTTCTGTTTCCGTTGGGTTATTGGGCTATTTTAGAATACTGTTTATATGCCTACTTATTTGAGAGCTACAAGAAAGGAATGTTGAATGGTGAAAACCGACTATAAAATTCTGCGAAATGGACAAACAAAAGGACTGCTATCCCCCAGCAGAAACAGTAGTTAAAACGCTCTCTCCCACAAAAAAGGACAGAGAAAGAGGCGCAAGCACTTGTAAAAGCAGCTTTCCATGTCAATCATGATTGGCAACAATAGTGCTAGCTTTCCACTGCCAATCAATCAATGTCAGTCGTACAGCACAGATACCAGGCTTTATAAATGAGCGGGATGAATAGGGGTATGCAAGCCCCGCCGATCCGTGCCTTTTTATTTTCGCCAAATCCGTCGATCCGCCAATATTTTTGTTCAAATCCACAACCACATCCGGAAACAAAGTGTAAAAGCTCAAAGGTAAACTGGTAAATGTGAATGCCATGCTTAATTTCGCATAAATAGTAAGGAGGGCAACATGTTTGATGACTTTAACACAGCACAATTCCAATAACAGTCTCACACCCGAGTTTAAATGAGGTTCGTTCGAAAAAAGAAATAATTTGGATGAATTCATTAACATACTGACCAAGGCTGAAGAAAGATCTATGATCCAGATATCATTTAGGACCCAAGATTCGAAAATTAAGACAGGCACAATCTGGAATCCACTCCAAAATTCACAGCTGATCCACGATCCACTGTGTTTTCAAAATTCGCGCATCCACTCGATTTACTGCAAAAATCCACAGTCCGTGCGCTTTTAAGGCCAAATCCATCTGTCTGAAAACTTATTCACCCCCCTCATAAATTATCCATCAAATATTTTCACTCGCACGTAATTGGTCTAACTACGTCACGTGACCGAAAAAGTGGCCTGAAATATCTGAAGGGAATGCTTACCAAATTTAACGGAGTGAGTGTTAAATCTACAAAAAAAAAATCAAGAGTGAAGAGGTAGTAAATATGATTGCCCAGAGTGTGTATTAAGAAAATCTATTTCAATCATGAAGTGGATAAACAACATTTTCCTTCATTTGTCGGATTATTTTTGAGAAATAGTTTACAAAAGCAATAGAGAACCTTTTTTTGGTATTTGCCTCATTTAAACACTCTGGGGGTTAGGGAACCCTCGACAATTATGCAAACTCAAGCCGCAGTCGACGGTATACATAACTGTATCAAATTCTCCCAACCCCCCCCCCCCCCCCCCCCCCCNAAAAACCAGGCGTTATCGACTTAGCAATTCGCAATTAAACCTGAGTGACAAGGTATAACACCGCTGTAAAGCATAATGGCCAATTTCGATATATTAAAATTCACTCGTAGACAAGACATCATGTCTAAGCTCTGCGGAATAAACTCATAGGAATCCTTACTTTACTCCCCAGAGCCTCGAGGTCATGTTTGTTGTTTGAAGTTAAATTCAGTCTCGTGCCGAGACATTCTCGTCCCCAGAGGCTGCGCTCCTTTTGGTTAGCACCAAGAATCGCGACCTCTGGCCAGGTCCGATTTTCTGAGCATGCGCAGAGTATTCGTTTCGTACGCTTAGCCAATCAGATTTGTCAGATTTGACTCTGAGCATGCGCAGAGTGACGGGAAGTCCGTGAATCGCAGACTTCCGATGTTGGGCCTTCCCAGAGGTCGCGATTCTTGGTGCTGACCAACAGGAGTGCGGCCTCTGGAGACAAGAATGGTGCCGAGAGTGTTCGCCCCGCACTGCGCATGCTGACTCGTTTCCCGACCTCTGGTTAAGGGGAACTAAGACTCTGGGCACGACATTGGCTCAGAACGAGTATAACGTCCGGTTTGTAGTCGTCATCGGTAATAAACGCACAAACAATTGCGGACAAAGCATGCTGGGACGCGTATAATGTTAGATGACTGCGGGACTGGGAGCAGGTTTTTAAGCTCCAGATTTTAGTGGCCGGGTATTCTAGAATCTAGCCGAGGTACTAAATTTATATCAACGTAATAAATTGAAAGGCTCTCTGAATATCGAATCATGTAAAAAGAACATTAGGAAAAAAGACCTAACGTCTTTTCCGTACAACACCAATAATTGTTGTAACCTCTGTAAAATTTTCTTAAAGACTACCTATAATATACCTACTGTTTTTATGTACTACATATACATACATTTTTGCAGATTGATTGTACACACACTTCTTTTTTTATTTATTTCATTGTAAATAATTTTAACTTTTTTTGCTCTGTCCCCAATTAGTAGTTAATACTAAATACATTGACACTTCAATAAAGCTGATATTTTTATAGCCTTCTTCGTTTGGAAACCAGCGCATTTTGAATTTCAGAATTATGGCGGTGCGTGACATAAGCTACGATCGCGTTTGTCGAAAAATATGTATTTATCTCGTGATTTTTAGCCGTTGAAGAATCTATAGTATTTAGAAAAGTGCTTATTTAAATGCTTGTTTGTCCAGTGCAGGTAATCAGTGTCCTAGATAACCAAAGCAAGTTCCAGATGTTTACACTATTTTCTGGCCGTCATTTGTACCAAAGAGGAACACTAACATGGCGGCTCTATACTAGGCTCTGTAACTTTGCGCGAAACATTTCCACGAATATCTCAACTTTGGGACAACGCACACTTCGTAAACTTGGAGAACTGTCTTCTTTATCTTCTATAATATACCAATTTCTTGACTTAATCCGCTGAATGGTTTTTGATTTTTTTTAGTATTATTATTGTCACGTCCGGTAGTCACGTCCGGTAGTCAGGTGGGGTTTGTGATCGTCGTGATCACCGTGATACGTAGTACTACAGAGCCCCCTAGGTAGCCCATGCGTAGCCAACCTCGTTCCCAGGGTCTCTCATCTCACCGCCTCCGCTCGCTCCAGGGGGCGGTAAGATGAGAGACCCTGGGAACGAGGTTGATGCGCAGCGCGAGCCTAAGCGCATACGTAGCCCGAAAACAAACTTTCGGGGGCAAAGCATAAAGAGGTTGGTATCTATAAACACGATGACCGACGTTGCTGCATCTGACAACAGTATTGAGCTAATGTTTCCTACGGGAATGGAGAGTATTCTCCACGAAAATCAATTGAGTCCTTTCAGAATACTGCTTTTCGATTTTTCGGAGGAACTTACCCGACAAGATGTGGAGAAGATGAAATATCTCGCTTTAGATTTCATTCCGCGTGGGCGAGCAGAAAACATTGAGAACGGGTTGCACTTATTTGACGCTCTGGAACGCAATGCCCGGATTTCTCCTCAAAACCTCGATCTTCTGGAGGAACTGCTTATAAAAATTGGAAGAAAGGATTTGAGTGCTAAGGTAGACAAATTTCGTCAAGGTAAGTGCACTTTTCCTTGTTACGAACTCGTTTGATGATTTGAACAATGAATATTATTTTTGCCAATGTTGTAATTTCGCTTCCGCCATATTGTTTAGTTGCTCATACCTGGCTCCAAATGGGAATAAATTGTCTCAGTAATGGGCGAAATACAAGGTTTTGCTCGGGAAGTAGCCAATCAGAGAACACAGAGAGCTTTTGTGGTTGTTATATATAATGCAAGCCAGAGCAAGTGGGCGAACATTTCACCTCAAGTTCTGACTTGTGATGGGTCCCTTGTAAGGTTTATTTATTTATTTTATCTTTTATTTATTACAATTTATGTCACACAAAAAACAGAAGTAAAAGGGTCAAAGACCCCGTATTAAAGCAAATCACCAATGGTACTAAAATGAAAATAATGATACAAATTAAATTATGGTAGTAATAAATATTAGATGATATAACGATAAAATATATTCAAAGAATATACTAATCCATAAAAGAAACTTTTTGACTAAAGCTTTAAAAGAATTTACACTTTTTGCCTCCTGAATGGAAAGGGGAAGGGAGTTCCATGTTCCCACAACTCTATGAAAGTATATTTAAGAACATTTGTTCTCGCATATCTCACCTTTTGTCTAAACGAATAGTGATCAGTTTCCTTAATAAGGAGGTTCATGAGGTTCAACATCAATATCAATTATTCCGTGAAGAACTTTACATGAAAAAGTATCATCTGCTAACAATCACCTCTCTTCCAATGATAACAAATTTAATTTCTTTAGGCGGCCAGCATAGCAGTCATCAGTCTTTAAGAATAAATTTAGTTGCCCCTTTTTTGAAGGTTTAATAACTGCTGAATACCATGCTACTTATTTGCATGTCACTCAATAAGAATAGCGTCTACTGTATTCTGACCCGTACTTCTGTTCTTCAGAAAATGCCGCTAATTGCTAACAACAGTGACAGGGTATTCAGGAGTTAGCAGTTTTCACGGATTATGGCACCATATTGGGTTGGTTTTTTGGGGGGAAGGCGGGGGAGGTGGGAAACACAGCTAAAATTTCAGAGGTTGTCCAAAGTACAGGATTTTGGCAGACTTTAAGCCTGTGTAACTTCACCACAGAAGCAGTATTTTCACGGCAAAATGTATGTAAAAGAGTATTTGTACTGACATTATTTTTATGAAGTGTAAAGACCAAATCTAGGCTAAAAAACTGTAAACGTATTTCTAAGATTTTCCAAAATCCTCCTAATCAAAGTTGTGCAAATTCCTCCCCCAAACAAGAAACATGACTAAATAAATATATATTTGGCATCATTAACCATGAAAATGTCCATCCATTTGAATTGCAGCCATTTTCTGTTGTGCAGCAAAATTTGGTAGAGATAATTATCATTAGCTAATGCAAACCATGTGATCTAAAACCTGTTTTTGCTTTACATTGTCTAGAGATAAAACACAACAGGCTATCAAGCAAATCAAAGTGTGCTCAGAGAATCATTTGCCCATGTTCTTGATCACCTTTAGTGCATGACACAACGCTAGATTTACCTTCATATTATCACTGCCTCCATTAAAAAAACCTTGATTTTGAAGAAAAAGATAGCACAGCCTACGTGTATAATGCTGTGTGAAAAATATACAAAATGGACGAAGTTTATAAGATAAAAGCCATTGTTTTCGAATTGCACCCAACTAAATAGTTGCCATTTTAGCCTTATTTTTCTCAAAAACAAAAAGTTTCGATCTTACATGCCTCCACAGAAAAAAGATATATCCATTTCAAACAGCTGTTTTGGGGATGCACCCAAACTGAAATTTCCATCAATCATCACATTAACTTTGAAATGTTTATGACAACCAAACTAAAGACAAATTTCCAGTGTTTGACTGTGTTTTCAAAGTGAACAAAATGGCTAAAACTCGATAATTTATCATGCATCGAGGCTCGGTTATCATGCGTCATTATGCGTTGCATTGTGCATAATAATTGTCAGGAACATTATGAGGGCATGTAGTAAGCATGATGAGGGCACCATGACGGCTCAGTGAAGGTGCGATCAAATGCTCAATGCAGATTAAATGCATGAAAAACTTTAATGAAAGCACGATTGCGATCAGAGACACGAAAGCTGGCATATGACATGATGCCAATGGGCTATCCAGATGGATGCGATTACCTACTGTTCTCTGGAGTTCTCTTTCTACCACATTTGCAAAGTAAATGTAAAGATGGAAGGTTTAACAAAGAGAATCCTTTTTCCGTAGAGTTCTCAGCATTTCCAAATGTATCACTAAAAACTTGTAAAAAGGTTTCCCATCCAATACAGGGCCTGGTAAGGTTATGTTGGTTAAAGCATTCATCATGAAAAGTTCCTTGCTGCTTTTAGTTTTTAACTGTGAAGTGATGTTGGACCATAAATTAATTTTGGGATTCTTTGAACGTTGCTTATAGCACATGGAACTGATAGCTACATTTGCTGTGTTCACGGTTCTTGTTTCCGATTCCTTCACCACAATTTTTCACTTAACAGGGGACTTTTTTCTTCAGAGACTTCCTCTTCACCACAGAGCCTTACTTCCAAAAAGATACAGCTGGCACTGCTGTCGGTTTTAAGGTGTTTTTACAGCCTGCAAGTGATGTAGATAATTGCTCGATTTAAAGTGTTGAGTCTTGACCAAACCCTTGTATAATCGGTCACTCTAAACTCTTTGCCAGTATACCTTATTCTCACTAAATTTTGTGTTAAAATTGTAAAATTTAATACTCGCGAAATATAGGACACGCAAAAACTAAAATCGCAAAATATAATGCCTACATAATATCACTGATAATGAAATTCAAACTGTTGTGTTATTACTGTTATTCCAACATGCCCAAGCTTCATGTTTAGGGGATTTTTGATTTTGTCCATCAGTTACCTTCCCCCACTGCATTGATCACTCTCGCTGTCAGAACTGTCCTCTGCCAATAAGTTCTTCAAAATCTCACTTGTGCAGTCGTCAAACTTCGAATAACTTTGTTATGTTTGCTATTGTTTACGGTGACGATCATACTAATGCTACATATTAACAAATAGAAAGAAATCTCGAAATTTAATACTTCATATCACCCTATTTCATAGCCAAAGAGGTGCATAGATTGAAAAAAGTCAGCCCAACCTTTTTAAGTTTCTTATGATTTGCTGGGAAAATGGTCATTTATGCTCAGAATCATCTTGTTTGTCACGACACAATGATCTTAAAAGATAAAGGATTTCTTTTTACCATTTTCTAGTTCAAGACTTGTAATAATAACAACTAAGATAGGATGCCAAAGTGGACCTAGTCATTTGCCAGTTTGTCTCATACCCCTGTGTAAAGAATTTGAAAATACTCTCTTTAAGGGGCTTTATTACCGTATTTTGGGGTGGTTCGGAGAAATCTTTCGTTACTGACTAGCTCCAATTTAGCATCCTAGCTTAGGTGATAGAGCAATGAGTAGCGCAATCACATTGTCATGAGGTCTAGTACTGTTCAAGCCTGGGTATATTTTCAGGCTTCTTTTTAACCACTTAAGGTGCTTCCTTAACTACAGTGGTCATTCTAACTTCAAAATCACAGGAATTTTATTTTAATTTAGGGGTGTACATGTTACGGAAGGTATCACCCACATCCAACCAAATTCTCAACATCCCTTTTCCTGTCTTTCCTGCCAATCAAATAATGACAACAACCACATGGGGTTTAAAGAGCTCTCTTGTCTTCCAAAATATTGTTGTGCTCTATTATTTAAGTGTTTTTTTTGGTTTTGTTTGTCTGTTTGTTTGTTTGTTTTTTGTCAGTTAAACCTTGTGGCTATTGGAATCAGCCTACACTGGATGCAATCTGTGACCGTGGTTACGTGTTTTAAAAAATTAGGAGCAAATTCTGAAGATCTTACCCTTAGTGACTTTTCAAGCTATGATACAGGCATTGATAGCAGATCAATGCTACAGAATTAAAATCTCTGATCAGTAAATAATAATAATAATAATAATAATAATAATAATAATAATAATAGCTGTGCGAATCTTTAATAATAATAATAGTAATAATAATAATAATAATTATGACTGCCCTAGGCTCACGGATTGAACTCGGCACCATAAGTTAAAAGCGGCAAGACTTTAAGGACTTATAATGACAATGATAATGATAATGATAATGATGATAATGATAACAGTAATAGTAATCATAATAATAATAACCATAATAACAACAATTTTATAGCTTATATAGCCAAGCACAAGTGCTCTACAAATTACGGAGACTGCAAATCAAATCAGATCGAATGAAATGTTTTAAATACTTTGGAGTTTACATCTATTTTATCGAAAAAGGTTCTAGAATACAAGATAAAGTCTAAATTTATGGTACTGAACTCTTCCTGTTGTTTTACCAAATTTTCAGACAAATTAAAATATCTCAGATAGCCTGCAAACGCAGACATCTTTCCTGCTGTCATTTCTCTCCCCAGAAAAGTAAGAGATACGACAGCGGAAATACGTCTGCGTTCGCAAGCTATATCTCAGAATAATCTCTGGAATATCTCAGCCCATGGAGGCTTCACTTCACAAAAGGACTCAAAGATTTGTAACTAGTCATAAAACCAAAATCACCACCACCACAACTTACAGAGCATCTTGTTTGGTATACTTGAAGCATTTAGGTGCTCTGTAAAGTGAAATATAATTTTCCATCCTGCCCAGTGTTCGCCAGTATTCCATTGAAAACTGTGGAGGAATCATATTGTCCTATGACTGTTTCCTCAGACAAACTTGACTTTGCCTTGTTTCTCTCTACTCAGGTGTATGCTGTAGTTGGGTACCAGCTTTCCTTTACGAAAACCTAAAATGCTGGGTGGGGTGGGGTGGGGTGGGGTGGAGTAGTACTGCAATAACTAGCATCCTATCCAGGGGGATGCAGGGGAGAAACCATGCCCCCAGTTGCTTCATGCTACAGAAAATCGGGTTAATGTTTGGCCCACTGGACCTTGTAGGCTTGTTTATAATAAACTATTATAAGCAAGAGATTATTCGACGATTAGATGTCGCTATTGGACGAAACTTTCGGTAAATCTCACACATTTACTTAAAATTATCAACGGTTTCACTGACGGATTGTGAGCGACCCTGTGCAGAAATTGCTGCGACAGTCGCTCGCGATAGCGCGTAACTCGGCTTTATGCGTATTCAACTTAGTGGTTTGTTCTGTTCTATGTTTAGCCCAGTTGAAAGAATATGCAGTTCCCATGGCTGAGACTGACGTTTCTCTCGCTTCAAACAAACGAATGCCTCTTAAAGAGGAGAACTTGTGCCGGGAATTGGCTTTCGACTACATCTGCTCCCACAAACTCGGCGAGTTAGCCTACAGATCGAACACCAAGGCTGCTAATACACTTCGGGAGGTTTGCAAAGAATTGGAAGAAAAGAACAAAGCGTTTTTCAACGATACCAAAAATTTGTCTGTGACAGCCCCAATGTTCAACGTCATTGCTGATGAAGTGTTCAGCGGAGGAATAAACTGGGGTAGGATCGTGGCCTTGTATTGCTTTGCTAGCACTGTTGCTGTGTCTCGCCGTGATAATCACATGAGTGACGGAGAAGATGTTGTCGGATGGCTGTCCGAGTACATGTGCCGAAAAGAGATGGCAGAATGGATAGCGAAAGCTGGAGGATGGAATGGGTTTTGCGAATTTTTCAAAGTTTCGCCGGGAATCAATAAAGAGCTATTCGGCGGCTGGACTTTTGTGACAACTATGTTCGCATCCATTGCCGCGGTGCTTCTTGTAGCACGCACGAAAAGAACAACCTGAGGTGTCTTCCCAGGGGAGGCTGCTCAGTAAGTTAGCCCGACATGACGTTGTACTCGCAGTTGGGAACTAGGGACGAGAGCGTCAAAGCAACAAAAAAACAGTAGTTTGAATGTCTTAAAACTAGTAACTAGTAGTAATCAAGGATTAGGAGTGCGTTCTGCGCCTGTGATAATAGTTGCTGCTACTGAAATCATTATCTTAATGTGAACGGCTGAAGTTTTAAGACATGTGTAAGATAATGACAAAGTCTACTATTAAGAAATAGAAAACATGTTCCGTGTTTCTATCGAGTTTTAGTATAAATCTACTAGCATTCTATCACGAATGCTGCTCTGATTGACTACGCTACTCACTATCTATTCTGTTTATAGATAGTGAGTAGCGTAGCAGTGTGCGCTTGTTAACAAAATGACGGCCGCTTCCTGACGTTTCCAAGTCTCCGTGGAGAGTGTTTAGATAAAGTTTTGAACGACTAGTAGATTTATACTAAAACAATTAGATTATTCGCTCTCGATTCCTAAGCATGATCGTTAACTCGGGCTGCGCCCTCGTCAACTATCATGCGATAGAAATCTCGAGCTCATAATCTAACTGTTTAGTAGAAACACGATTTTTAACCAATCAGCGCGCGTATTGTCTTACGACCGTTGTCTAATATATGATAATTATTACTACTTATACTACTACCTCTACGATTATAATTAAAATTACCAGTTTGTTAGTATTTATTGGGGTTAAATATCAATTGGGACATCGTCCTGTTTTCTGCTCCAGTTGCTGATGCCATTTTCTTTTCTTTTCTTTTCTTTTTTTATTGTACATGCAACAAGTTCAATAAAGTTTTTCTTTTTTAAAGAAAAAAGTTCCAACATACTGACAAAGGCTACTCATTCGCCTTCAAAATTCATGCTAAACATCTCATTTTCACTTTTACTGGTAATAAGGCTAACTTTTAAAACGAATGCTTGTGTTACATCCAGTATTCTAAGCTGGAAGCACAAATATCAGCTAACATCTGTGACATTTGCGCACGCGTGTCGGTTTAAACAAACTCCGTGCGACTGGCAATAATTACTATTTCCGCTGATGAATAAAAAAAGTCAGCATTACATTGCTGTTCCTTACTTCCGGCTTACTCTTATAGATCTTGGCTTCAGAGTACTCTTCCATCGATTCAATTTTGACCTTCGTTGGATACTGAACACTGGAAATATTAGTAAAGTCAACTGACAAATCTAATCAAAATATAGCCAATGAAATATCGTTGTTCCCACGGTTACATCCCAAAGCCACGACGATTCAAAGTCGTGTTCGGGAACAGAATAAGTAATTGTTGTCTCAGTTATGTGACAAAAGCACGTCAACTCTCATAATGACCAAACAGGCCACGCATCATTGGTCCAGAATCAAATCTACTAGAAACGAACGATCGCGAACGATCGAAAAAGTAATTCGTCTCGTATACGTACGTGCTTTGCGATGATGTAATTTGTTTTCGCCCAGCCAAGAAGTCTCTTTCCAGTCTGCATTGCGATTGCATTCCCTTTTTTGTCGAATGCAATCATAGTGAACAACCAGTTCAAAGAAAACCCCAAAACGTCGCAACGAAAGAAGCCATAAAAGAGAACAAGAATGACGCAGCAGATGGACACGAAAACGAGGCACAGAGCCCCTGAAAAAACCAAGAGGGGCGGCCAATCTGCAGTCTTCACAAAAAATTTCGATTTCTCGTGCCTGCAAACAGACCGAGAACACAGATATATCTTATTAGATGTTTTGATGTGTAATACCGCCGTATATCTTAACGAGTTGTGCCGTAAATGAATAAAATCAATAAAAGACGAAGTCACTGTCAATTTGGGGACTCATTTGCGGCACGGTGACCCTTCACTAAAGTTCAAGTTTCTGAGGGTGGGAGACTTTGGTGCCCTTTTAGCATAATCTCTGGCGCTGACAGCGGATGGTTCTAAAAAAATTCCAAACAATGGATCCTCTGTATGATGTAGAGTTTTTCATATGGTAAGGTTCAAAACGTTGCACGCTAACACGATATTGATGACGGAGGTCATACTTAGACTCTTTCCTGTGGATTAAATGTTCCAAGCAGGATGGAGTTGTGTGATTATAAATTTTATAAATTAAGGCGGCTATTTTGATCTTATAAGGGTCGAATAACGAGTCCCACTTGGCTATTTTTCTTACATCTACAGAGGGCATGTGGCGCGAGAAACCACACCCCTAGCCCCAAAACAATAACAGCTACCACACTATGATGACAAATAGAAATACAAGCTTACGAGAGCTGCCACACTTCTGATGTAGAAAATTCAGGCTTGTAGTCTAATTGTTAAATATTGGCTAGTACTGTATCATCGAAAGGCGGTGTAATCACAGAGGGTAGATGTAGCCCATTGCATGCACAGCGAACCATTTTTTGAATAGCACTTCAAATAATAGTAAATAATTATCAATATACGTGTAATCGACAAACGTAGTTCTGGCAATGTTATACATTGTTGTTTTTTTTCTAGGATTCTCCTCAGAAACCTTCACTGGATCAGGGGGTTGCAGTGGGGGCCTCTCTCATGTCACCTCTAGCTTTCCAACCTTCTGGGAAAGTAGCTATTCTGACACAACCGCCGCAGCCTAAACAGCCCCCCAAGATGGAAATCTCCCCCCTGACTCAAGATCAACTTGCTCAAGCACTAACTTATTTATTAAAGGTAATACAGGTATCTGAATTTATTGCATGGCTATAAATCGAAAACGGTTACCAGAAGAGCCACAGATTTTTTTATTCTGAACAGGCTCAAGCAGTTTTACTGAAAGTAAGTTGCTCCCTTAAGGGTAACCCTGCGATGGACTAGCATCCCATCCAGGGTGGAGACGAAATACTTCTACAGTGAAGCCTCTATTTAGCGGACACCCTCGGGACCTTCCCAAGTGACCGCTTGATAGAGGGTGTCCGTTTAATCAAGGTCTATAACAATTGCGCTATGTTTGTTCACAATAGGCCCTTTGCACGATCCGGTCACATGGTACAAAATCACACATGCTGGGACGCAAGTTGCACAGTGGGACTTCCAGAACAAAGCAACTCGTACCAGTCCACCTTGACCTGCCTTTGTTTTGGAAGTCCCACTGTGCAACTTGCGTCCCAGCATGTGTGATTTTGTACCATGTGACCGGATCGTGCAAAGGGCCCACTAACGTCCAACGGTTCCTCAGTACTGAGGCCGGGCAGGGCTCGACTTTAGAAAAAAAACCTTGGGGCCAGCTGGCTCCTAAGTGTTTAGATTTGGTCGCCAGCACAAATTTTTTTGGTCGCCAAAAATTTTCGACTCTTCGGGCTAAAAACATTCGATCGTTTTGGTAGCCTTTAGTCTCTTCCTTGTATTTTCTGTACAAACCAAACCAAACAAAACGTTACATTTGCACGTAAGTGGTAGCGAACAAGAAAACAGTTTCAACGCTGAAATACGCCTTCCTTATTCAAATTGGTTTGATCATCTTTCTTTTTTTTTGGCCTTTTAAGCAGTTTATTTCAAGTTGAAGTCCTTGAAGCAATTCAATACATCTTGACGAGTCGCGCCGTTGGGATGTTAGACTCGTGGCCATTTTGTGATTTTAATTATTGAACAAGCTGAACCAAACTTGGTCAAACCAATTCACGAATAGATTTCATCCGATTGTGTTTGAAAACTCAAGCATATTTGAAGGGAAATGTGTTGTGGTAATGCACTCGATGGCGCAAAGTTTACGTTTACTTTCGGCCAACAAAATCAATGGACAAATTCAATAGACCTTTCCCGCATTCCACTTCAGTGCGTGCGAACAATAGCACCAGAGTGAGGTTGGGGTGGACATTTTCATACATTTGCTGAATTTTTGTCCACCCTGACCTCGACTTGGTGCTATTGTTTGTTGGAATGCGGGAAAGGCCTATTCAGTTGCATCCAGTGGAAGTTCCTATGTATTTTAATTCCATTCAACCGAATGCACCAGGCTTCTTGACCCATGTAATAACCATCACCGCTTTTTGTGCTTGTTCTCTTTTCAGAATGACTCAGAGTTTGTCAGTAAAATTCATGAGGCATACTTCAAAAGTTTACAGGACAAGCTCCCAACTTAATGGCATGGTATACTGTGGATGGCTTTTAGTCACAAGGTTGGTGTGCCTGTGCTGAACGGAAGACAAACCTGGAGTGCTGCGCAAGAGTGACGCTAAAAGAAGACGATATTGCCGTCAAGGTTTATCGTTGATGACAACATTTGAAATTTGTTTAAGCGCAAAATGAAAAGTTTTCAACGAATGAAAAAGAACTATTTCACAAAATTTTAAACCATTTTTCTACGATGTGTCGATAGCCTTCAACGTCGACTGAAATCTTAAAATAATGATTTAATATTAAAAAAGGTAGAAAAATACCATTTAATTAATGACGGAGGAATTTTAAGACGGAAGTTTCACTTTGAAAACGTATCAAACGTTTTCCGTCCACACTACGCCGGAGGCATTTAAAAACGCAACAATCGCAGGTCATTTTGGCTTTGTTTTTGAGGAAAACTCAGTCAGGGAAATCACGTGATTGTTGTAACGCCATCGTTTGCGAAAAGTTCCGTTTTGCGTCCACACGAAAACGCAAAGTCGGCGTTTTCAAATTCCTCCGGTTTGAAGAGCGCTTGGCCTAAACGTAGAAATAAAGCTGCTTTTCAAGTGCCTTCCCGCGTGGTGTAGACGAGGCGTTAGACGGAGGAATCTTAAAGCATGCACGCTAAACGTCGAGAGATTCTCCATCCGTGATATAGCTCCGTTAGAAGAAATTGTGAGAATTGATGACATGGAACCGATTGTCTTGAGGTTCCCGTTACTGTTTGGTTTTTCATTGTTTCTCTTGATTCAAAGCTTCTTTTTATGGTCATTGTCGTACGTAACAATGACATCATTTTATTGTTCTCGTTACAGTTATCATAGTCATCAATTGCAAAGTTAGTAATAGTAATTAAACCGAGTGGAGTGCAATTCAGGGAGAAATAGCACGAGTAACTTCAAAATCGGACGAGCGCGAAGTGCGAGGCCGGTCTAAAATTACGAGCACGATTACTCCCTGAATTGTACAACACGAGGTCCAGTTACTAATTAATAGTATCTACAACAAGTTTCGGAATTAAAAATGTCTTAGTGCTTTTCATAAGTTCTGAAAACTGTAGGAAACATTGCGAAGGAAGGGATTAAAGCGCGCGTAATTGACGTGCGAATCACGTGGGTATGCAATTACAGGTATCCAATTAGTGTAGTAAATCATACGGTTTTTCTCGTTCAAATTGGAATTAATTTGCACGAGTGAGTTTTCAAAAAGCTGAAATTGAACTAGCCGCTTTACTTGTTAATAACAAACATGAAAAAATTCGCGTGGAGGAAGTGCAGGAAGATCTTTCTTGAAGCCATTTTTTCTCGTTCGAGAAAACTTTTTTCAAAGTTTCGGCACAAAATTCTCGTCATCATTTTATGTGATATCATTGGCTTAGAAAACTTCCTATTGTTTTGTAGCCAATCATAATCCAGAATTACGATGTGTAATTTGCACTGGTGTTACACTTGAACCGCACTGCTCTCAGCCAATCAGAATCGAGTATTTTTTCATATATATTATTACAGAAAGTAGTTAATATTGGATAGCTGTTATTGGACACCCACGTGATCGCGCGCCGATTACGTGAAAAATAGGCGCGCAGAGAATTTTGTTATAGATACTATTAATGATGCAATCGTTGTTACCGCTTCATAACATGCTTCGTCAAGCTATAGAATAGGAATATAATCGCGTAATTCCTAGATAATTTCACAAGTTATGCATACGTGTAGATAAATCAAATTTACTGCAAAGGTGAAGTGAACTTTTCACAAAGCGATAATCATTTTTAGAAATTTTAATTAGTATTTTATGCAAACAACAAGACAACATTTCTAATATCTCCCCAGAGGAAATATCAATCGACGCGCTCCATTGATAACTATGATTGATACAGCGCTGTATTGTAAATGAATCTTTCAGTGAACGAGCTTACTACATTGGCGAACGCCACTTTAGACATCCTGTGGCCGCAAAATTATCAACAAACTCAGAGATCTTTTAAGTAATATATAAAACACGAGAGACAGAGTTTCATAACATTTCCAAACACCAAGAAGATTGGCCTAGATTAGACTTCGAGGTGTTTGGAAATGCGGTAAAACACGGTCTCGTTTGTTAATATTATCTTCTCAATCGAAACTGCATGATATGGAGAATAGGGCGAATTGAACTTTTTAGCTGGCCAGGGCGGTATTTGAAAATTTGAAAGAGAGAATTCTCAAGAGTATCCTCACATGGTTTAAAATGGGGCAGCAAACAGCCCAAGCTGAAAAGGTCCATGAAAATCGTAAAAAAATTGCTTATTAAGACCACGTTCAGACACTAATTTTGTTTTAACTTGGTTAATTATTTATGAGTTTGTTTATTAAATTTCAACAGTTCGGTTGTTTCCGATTTGATATTCGAATTCACCAGTTTTTGTAGTCGGACTAGTTATATTATCAGACTATTTGTGTTATGGCATCTTGTCAGTTCAACCTGAGTTCTTGCTAAACATCGTTCAGTAAAACATATACAGTGATCAGTTTTATAATGGAACTTCTAAGACTAAGTGTACATATGTGTTCTTCAATTCGAACGGCTACCTGGACCACGTTTTTTTATACCATCTTTGAGCTCTAGCTGTGCTGTAGTGTTTGCGACGGATCATGTAACTTATCTGTAAATCTGGTGCCTGACTCGTTGTAGTTTGACTTGGGTTGATACAAGAAGTTGTACGACTTTCCCACCAAGCTTTCAGAATATGTAAGTAAAAGTTGTTCTGAGCGTTAATGTTATGGATAGTGAAATCAAACTTAACGACAGCTGATATCTTAAACTGGTTTTGTTAGTCAAATATGTTTAGTTAGTGTGACCGATGTATTGTTAGGTTAATGTTAATTTCTGGAAGACAATTCCCAGAATTCCAAAGTATAAAATCAGAGACATTTGCTCTATTAGTCAAACAGTGCAAAAAACAATCAGGCTGCAAGCGCGGGAAAAAATATCGCCGGTGGCAAACGCGGGAAATTTGTATCTGGTAGCAAGCGCGGGAAAAATGTGTCGCCGGTGGTAAACGCGGGGAATTGCTAACTGGTAGCAAGCACGAGAGAATTAAGGTGCCGCCGGTGGCAAACGCGGGGAATTGGTAACTGGTAATGAGTCGCCAGTGGCAAACGCGGGAAATTGGTAACTGCAACAGTAGCAGGAAACTGGCTTTTGGACTTGTCATAATATTCAAACAAGATTATATATAGCACGTGCAATACTTGGCCGTGCCATAAATGGGAAATGACGAATAAAACATGGAAGAGACTGAAACAACATATGTTGGGTTTCTTTTTGTCCATTCCTATAACTTATCTCAATTTGTATAAAGTGTTATTTATCATCCGTGTTATTGTTGCTCTGAGACAAAAGAAGAATAAAAAGAAGGACGAGAGAATTACAAGAAAGTGAAAAAGAATTTGTTACGGATAAGTTAATTCTTTGGCGCAACCGAGTAAGCCACAAAACAACCAGAGAATCGTCAATAGTTGAGGTAAGGGATCATTCGGGACAGTGCCCAATGCTTAGAAAATATTTAACCGGCAATGGAGCAACCTGATTGGTCGATATTAGTTATAGACCTTCTAAACGAACTTAGCCATGTAACAAGTATGGGTTATTATTAACCGAGTGTGAGGCGAAGAGGGCTGAATATTGGCAAGGATCTTTCTTGTGTGTTTATGCACCGAAAGGCAGTCGAAGTCCTTAAAGACGCCTCAAAATATCAAGCAATCCTGACCGAATAAGATTGGCCGATAACGGATTTATTATACGGCATACAGGACACAATTATCTTGGGCAGACAGCGGGCAATCCCGCGTGCCGAAAGACCGTCCCGGAGCCCATCTTGCTCGCTTAGGAAGCCAATCACAGTGCAGGATTTGATTGGTCCATCTTGCTCGCTCGGGCCGACTTTCTAAAAGTCCTTTCCAACAATTCTTCCAACCAACAAACCAAACCAACCAGCTTACGTCGCTCGCGCTCGCCCTCGCGACTTCGTCGCTCGAAGATTACCCTCTCTTAAGTCAAGGATTAAGAAAAGGTCGACTTGTGGCAAGTCTATCGCACGCGGAGCAAGACCTATATCATCGAGTCGCAGTTCTATAATTACGTGGTTGCGCAACATTTTCTGCTGCTGTGGGACCAACCAGAAAACAGATAACAAGACTCCTGACGAAATATTGAGCACAATTTGTTGAAAAATAGAACCATGGCAGATTCAAGAGCACTCTTTCCTCTATGACGAAGTAAAGATTATTGCTATTAGTGTTCGATGTAGACAAGCATTGAGTTTGTTTTTTTCCTCTTTCGTTCAAGTCTTTCTCAATGCAATGAAAATCGTCCGAAACGCCATGACGTTTGGGGCACTTTCCATTCAACCAAAAGTTCCCGAATTTTCGAAACGATAACAAATGGTCTGGGACGGAAAGTTCCTGGGAAAGTTTCTGAAAAATTCGAATTTTTTATATTTCAGAAATGCGTATCATTCAACCGAAAATTCTGGGGTAGTTGGGGGGGGGGGAAGGGGGGAGGGGGCGTTCAGGTGGAACGAAAATACCTTGCAAGGGTCGGCAAGATTAGAAATGTTCGAAAATTCGCGTATACCTTGCGAGGTTGTCTTTTTTACTGGACATTCCGGAAAGAGTTCGGAAAATACAATATTCCAGTCGCCTCCGGAAATTTATGGGAATTCAAACCGGAATTTTCGGTCGAAAGGAAAGTGCTTTTAGAATCTTCAGAAAATCCCCGATTAAACGCTGGGCCGTTTATTGAAAACTCGATCTTGTAGACCTCTCCTCTAGACTTGTCTTTTAGGAAGGCGTTTAGTGGGTATTCTTTCTTGTATAAATCTGGATTTCTTCATTAATGTTTCCTGTTTACATTGGAAAATTAATCAAAAACAAGAACAGATGATGATAATATATGAAACTTTAATAACATTCTTGGAATTCTTCAACCGGGGAAGTTAAATATACATTGAGCGAGAAACTCCTTGCTACAATTGTAGGTACTGTAGTGTACAAAACTTGACAAAAACCATCTTTACGCTTTTCAAGGATCTGTTGCAGAAATGTTGCTTTGCTTTTGCTAAAAGTATGTGAAATTTACTTCCGAATCAAACTTTTATCTCACTGTCACTTACGTTTCTTAAATAATTATGTAAGTTTAGATAACAGTGAAAATCTCTTTTTCTGGAATTTCTCAAATAGGCTAAGGCTGTGTTCACACTTGGTGCCGAGCACCGGCACAAAATAAAGTTGTGTTCCGACGCGGTGTAGTCCAAAGACCCAAGTACCATTTTCGTAACAGAAAACAAAGTCGGACACTGTGCCCGAATTCTGGTGTGAGTACTTGGAAAAACGTGTGGTCACATTAGTGCCCAGCAAGAATCATGCTTGGCCAGCATACTTGGGCACCAAGTGTGAACATGATAGCCTAAGTAATGTTTTCCCAAGGAGGGGCCAACTTTAGTCTCAAAAGTGAGTCAAAGCTGACAAATTGCCAGTGCAGTTACATGTATTGTGTCTCTTCAAATGGCTGTGAAAGTTCTGTTAAAGCCAATATTAGCCAAGACAGAAAAAGCAAGAGCTCTTGCAGGAATAAAACAAAAATGACCTTTTAGTAGAAAATTCCTGATTGAATGTGTAGCCTATAAAATCCAACATTTATTTTCTTAAATTGAATAACTTTCTACAATGCTCAGAGTTCTTGGTGTTCACTTTTAAGTTGTTCGATCCTCCTGATAAAGTCTGTCTTCTCTAAACATCCCACACATTCCTCATCCCAATCGCTCAATATCTTCTTGAGCTGTTTAACTCGCAGCTTCTTCAAATCAACTGCGTTAAGGTCAATCTGTTGGTCTGTAACGGAAATTCAAGCATATATCAATTACATGGTACAGCTATGGCAGAGGCAATATATCAAACACGAAAGACAGTGCTTGACTACATTTCCAAACTCTGACTGCGAGAAGAGAGTTGAGAATGTGACACATAGATGAGTATTTTTGATGAACTTCCAGTTGTTTAGAAATGTGGTCAAAGACGGTCTTTCGTGATCGATATATTTTCTTATAAATTGAAACTGAAAATGAGGAGAAAATGGAGAAATTAAATTGTAAAAATGTATGCTCATTAACAGGGCTGTGCTCTAGAAGCACCCAGGTGCCACAGGCTACCAAATTTTTCCTTTAGGCAACTAGAAGAACTTACTTTTTTCATATAAGCTTAAGCGCTGGGCATGCAGGATTTCTTGGTTAGGAACCTTTGGGCTCCTTGTAATTTTTCTTAGACCACAGCCTTGCTTATCCAAACACCTTCACCGTTATGATTTCCTTTGTTAAAACTTATGAATTATTAATGACTTCGAGAAAATCATAATTATCCAGTAGGAAGTTATAACTTCGAAAGTTTTCTTGTTACACATGACTTCTGATTCACAGAGCAGTTAGGAGTCCATTGTATGCCTCTTGAGTTCTGCCTTGGATGGTGTGTCGGCCTAATGCAGTTTACGGTAACCTTGGCCAAGGCTACAACCTGGACCTCATGATTCAGTGTCCAGCATGCTTTGAACCAGTGGGCCACGTTCAATAATACAGCACACTAATGAAGTCTGCATGTACAATGCAACCTCAGTAGTTCTCCTATGGTAATGGGTAGGTAAAGTCTGCATACAAGCCAAGTGGTCCATCAGGCAGGAGCTTATCCTGGTTTCTGTAGCATGAAGATACTAGGAGTATTTCTACATCCCCCTGGATGGGATGTTACTCCATCGCAGGGTTACCCCCAGCATTAAAATTGCTGGTACCCATTTATACACCTGGGTGGAGAGAGGCACTGTCTCTTTACTCTCAGAGTAAAGTGTCTTGCCCAAGAACACAATGCAATGTCCCCAGCCAGGGCTTGAACCCAGACTGCTCAATCGAGAGACGAGTACACTAACTATGAGGAAACTCAGCCTCTTTGAGCTGTTCAGTAACATCTAGTTGGGACACAGTGAGAAAAATGGCACAGGATTTTTTTGTATGCACTGTATCCCAACTAATGTGACACCTAGAAGTGGCTACAGGACACTAGACAGTCCCTCTAAAATAAATTACTGTGTCCATAATATTTGCTTAATATTTAAGATGCTGTGTAGCAAGGCTGAAAAAGTTAAAAATTTAAAAAACTGAACATTTTTGACTAATTAAGTCAAATTCATCTCAATTTTTAACTTTTTTAGACTTGTATATAGCATCTCAAATTAAACTGTACTATCAAATTTGTACTAACCATACTGCAACTCGCAAATCTGTGCATCTTGCTTTTTAAGCTTCTCACATATCTTCTCTGCAGGCATGTGGTAACTCAGTGGCTTTGTGATTTCCTTCACCATTCCAGTTGCTGCATCTTCAGTGCCTCCGACATAGTAACACTGATAAATGTAATACAGTCTACCTTAGTTACAATGTTCATCTATACCACCGTTAAGTCCTATGATCATGTGATCCTCTTTCCTGTATTCTGATTGGCAGTATTTTATACGGCATGGCATAAACCCTTTTACATACAACTGTATGACTGGAGTTACAAAAATGGTGTAAATTACAGATGCATTCATTTGCATCCAGTGAGCCATACACCAAAAAAAAAATCACATCAAGCTATGATGAAAAAAAAAAAAGAAAAACAGGTAGAAGAGCACAAAAAAAAAAAAAGTATGAGAGTGCAGGAAAAAAGCCATTCCTCTGAAATTATATATTGCAACCTTTGGAGAAAAACCCTAGACTTGGGCATTAACACTGGTTTCAAATAATTATGTGAATCTATACATGTTACTGATAATCCATGTACACATATTTGATACATTTCCATCACAAACATGACTCTACTTACAAATCTGTTTTCCTTGGTTTTTGCTTTTTTGCAGACAGCTCTAAACTTTTCATCAATCTTGTCTACACTTTTCATATCGTCGTCGGTCAATTTTTTAGCAAAATTTGTCAGAAACTTTATGCAAACTGGAAGGAATAAAACAAACAAAATCATATTGGACATGTTGCTCCAGAAAATATCAATACCGTTCACACAGAGGGTTTTTTGGTTGGAGCCCTTCCCCCACCCTCTTTCACATTCCTCTAAAAATTAAAGGTTTTGCTCACACTTTCCTTTAAAAATTTTGGCTTTTGCAACCCTCCTCATGAAATTTTCAATGACTCTCCTTAGGGTAGGTATGGGTATTTTCTGGAGTTCTACACATTAAACAAAATAAAACAATTGCAGCCTACACAGCCTGCAAAGGTTTGATCAACCCGTAGCTGAGATTTGAACAACAAATTTCACATATTATTGAATGGTGCACAGCTGCTGCACACTTGTAGACCATGTGATTTAACTATTGTCATGCTTTCTCCTGTTTTTGATAAACCCTGTAGATTGACATAGTTAGCAAATAACAGTGTGCCTTACAATACTTTTAATCGACAAATGGTTTTGGAAGTTCATTTGAAATTCCTTAAGTTCCCTCAAAGGTTTCCAGTCAAATGCTAACTTCAGAACCAAGTTGAGTTCTTTTGAGAACATCCCCTTGCGCTTACTCAATCTCTTTTACAAACTTTTAAATATATACAAAATTTTATATCTTGTGGTTCAAATTTATTGTGGGTTTAAAAACGCTTGATCATTGTCATAAAATCATTACAACAAATTACCTGAAAATCAGCCCTACAATAAGTGTCCATTATACCACAACTTAATTTATGTCTTCTACAGTCACGTTAAATGATCTTGACCAATCACATTATGCAGAGTATCCATCTTTTTTAGATAATAATGATACATGGTGGAGAGCAAAATTTATCTACAGCTGGGTACATCAGAGAGTAAAAAGCGTCATTTATTTGAACATCACGATCAGTTATAAATCTCCAAAACTTTGACATCTGGTTGTGTTCTCACGAAACTTTAATATTGGTTTGATTTGTCTGAATGAACGGATTAACTTGGCAAAACACTGTAACACACTTCTTATAACATAAACCTGCAGGTATATGAACAGGTATATTAGCTTTATACCATGAATTCAATTAATTGATTGACCGTAAAATTCTAAAAATCAAGACTTACTCATAAACAATTGCAACAACTTGGTCAAATCTCTGTTAGGTATTTTCGGTCATTACCGTTTGTCAAGTCAAACATTATAGTAAGTTCACATCGAAGTCTCGCGGTACATGTGAAATTAAATTTAAATTTAATTTGACAATATTCAATTCGCTTCTGCAGTTCAAAGGCTTTTGCCGAACACGTTAAAGAGCCCCTTCGTTTGTTTATAAAGCTACTGATTCTAAATCATCGCTACTTCACCAAACGTCAGCATTGTGCTGCGAACTGAAAAACCATACGTGTCATAAAACTTCCTCTAACTCAGTGAGGTAAGTTTTACATAATACTCACTAACCTTCGCATTCTCCCTCTTTTAACGCCGCTTCTGTCGGTAAAACGTAACAGCCAAGCAAGGCGTTTAGTGAAAGCACAATAAATAACCACATCTTCAAGAAACTAGCTGGATCAGACAAATATAACGTAAGATCTGCAAGGACTGTTTCCAAAAATCTTTCACGTTTACCGGCTGATTACGCAAAATGCCAATGCTAGTGGAGTAGTTGGCGAACTCTGATTGGTCCAGACATTTACACGCCGACAAAATTCAAAACCAGCGGCTTTTAGCTTGATAAGCCCGCTATTTCTTGACCAGCGTTTCAGTTTTGAAATTTAGTCACCAGTCTTACAAACGAGAGATAACTCATGTTTATTGCTATGGAAATCAAGGAACTCCAGAAGGCAACGCAAATGGCGTTCTAGAATTCTTCGAATTTTCGAACGAAAATGATGGTGATGGTGTACTAGAGAAGAAATACTGGTAGATGAGTCGCTAGCGCGATGTCTCTGTCGTCAGTGTTGCCTGCTTTGCCCGGTGTCTACACACAAAAGAGCAACACAAAGCAAAAGTTAGTTGTTTTACGTTGCATGACTATTCAGTTTCAAACTTTAAATATTGATGTTTACTTTCCAAAATAAGGGCCTGAAGCCAATTTAAGGAACATTTGGGCTTGGAATCTTGTTTTTAAACCTATTATTAATATTGTTCGGATCAAGTTGGTTTACGTTCTCTAGAACCTAAGGTTAACTGCTGATTTCATTTGTTTATCATGAATGTTGCTTCCTCGATTTCTTTGGCAAATTAAATACATGAATTCCTTTGGTACCAAGATTTCAATCACTATAGATCGAAAGAAATGAAAATGATTCACATTAATGAAAGATTTTCCTTCCTATGTAAGAAGGCCAGTAAGAATTTTTTTTGGAATTGTGTGTTTGTTTTTCTGTACGTCTAAACAAAACTGCATTGCATTGCAACAACAGGAAGGGTGAATATTTTTATGCAACTTTTGCAACTGTGTTTCATGATATTGGACATACTTGTAAATAACCAACATTGGTCATAACGTCATCATTCAGAACTCTAATCACATCATCAAAGAACATGCAATGTACAGCTTGATTCTGGACTTGTTTTAGAAACTCTCACACACAAAAAATGAATTTGCAAAAATGCTTGTACGTATCCTGTGCCAGACAGTAAGCAAACAAAATTGACTCTAATGATGTATTATGGAACAAAACTGACCTGCTTGTGTCTGAATGGCATACATCTCAAGGCACGTGCTGTCTTGTTTTTGTCTGCAACTCAGTGATAAAGCAACATAGGGAAACAAAATTTTATGTGCACAGGGACATTGTAAATAATCAGGGATTCTGGGGAAAAAGTGTCCCTTGTTCAGAATCTCAAATTTCATTTAAAACAGTCTTGCAGAAGATTTTGGTCACTTTTTCATATAGGGTGCTTGAAACAACCAGCAATGCTGCAAGCTCTGTGCATTCCAAAAAGAGCAAGAATAAACACCAAGCAGAAGCTGAAAAGCAGAAGGCTGAAGCGGAAGCTAAGGCTGCTAAAGACAGAGAAGAGGTGGGATCTTTTGTTCATAATTTGCTTGTCACACAATCTTTGTTGGAGAGTGTGTGACAAACACTACATGTAATCAACATTGTGTGACAAGCATTATGTGTGACATACATTGTTGTGCACAAACGTTCTGTGGGGTAATTGCGTAACAAGAATTGCAAGTAATGGACTGAATCTAGAGGACAGCCCCCCACCTTAATTTAAGACCCGAAGTTGGTCCCACCTTTAAAGGGATATTGCTCTACCACTGGAAAGGAAACACTGTGAATAAGCATTGAATGAGAAGGATTAGGTGACAAGCATCCAGTACATGTACTAGTAGTTATGACTAAAGGAGAAACACTTTTTGATGTGTGTGTGATGACCATCATGTGAAAAGTATGGTACGATGGAGATCTGTGACGTAACAAGCATACATGTAACAAACATGTGATAACCATTGTGATGAACATAATTTTGCATATTTACAATATAAGTACTGTCGGGCAAACAACATTAAATGTGAGTCAAGCATGACCAACATATATGTAATTCATGGTGCTTAGTGCTGTGTGACAGGTATTTGTGTGACAGCTTAATTAAGCATTGTGTGACAAGTATTATACAGGTAAGGCAAGGACAAGCAGGTGCTGCAGGACACTTACATTCAGTAGTAACATTTCTATGAGATGTAAAGTTCTGTGAAAATAATTTAAGTTATTTTTTCTTCCTTTTTAATCAGCAATGTGTTCGTCTCTACGAGATGTGGTCCAAAATCAAACAGGAAGAGAAAGATGAACACTACCAGTACTTGAAAGAACGAGTCTCCATTCAGCATGAACTCATTAAAAGACAAGACATGCTATTTAAGAAACGCCAAGCGCAAATTGAACAAAAGCGTTGGAAGGTATGTCCAACTTTATCTGTTGAGTATCTGGAAAGAAAGAAGATAGGGAACTTTTCGGACCGGAATTTTCTGGCATTCATTCAACCTTCGGTTTGATTGTGGTAAATTTATGTTTGGATCTGAAATTCAGTCTGCTTTTAATTTTCGTTTTGTCTCATTATTTATTAATACCATTATCAGTGTTTTCATCATTAATAATTAACAAATGAACTAGCTTTCATCTTAGTTTACATTTTGACTTAAAGAATTTGTACAAAGTGTAACTCTAGATGCTGAGAACAAAAACTATCAACAGCACCATGAAATGAATCCATTCTTTGGTGCAAATTTGTATTGAAACCTTTTAGCAAGTATCAGAGTGTGTGACTTTAGGATAGCAGCTAGTATTTTTTTAAGTAATTAGATTCAAGTTTCCTAGTTACAGTTTGTTTATTAAACGTTATTTTTTTTTATCTAGCACATTTTGTGATTATACTGTCAGGTGGTAATTCTCCAAAATCTTTTGTTGTTTTTTGTGTAGATAAAAGAAGCCAAACGCCTTGACAAGATGGCTAAGTCAAAAGAATACTCCGACTTTGTTCGAGATGTCTTAGGTAGGTGAAAGATTTGTAGAAATGAACTTTTATTTTTGCATGTAATTTACATTTTGTAATAGAAAACTTTAAAATATTGCCTAAACTTCATAGCAGTATTATAATTTAAACTAGTAACACGCTTGTTGTAAACTAGTATGCTTTAAAATTTTCCGTTTTAATGAAACAATCGAAATTGACAGATTTTAGCTCTATGGATTCAGAGCAGAGGAAGAGTATCGTGAAAACGTGTCATTTAAACTTAAAATTGTGCGAGTAAAATAATTTTGCATCGAAGACTTTCAGTACACGTGAAAAGTTTTTGCCCGTTTTATTTATTTCCCAGTGTTTTCTGAAAGAAATAAAGAAAACTGTCTCTGTGTTTCGTGACCTATTGAAACACTCGTTAAAGTTTGGGAGAAGTCGAAATCACTGTGGAAACACTCGCCTGTGGCCCGTATTCCCACAGCATTTCTCGTGCTCCCAAACTTCCACTTGTGTAGACCTCTATTGTTCCATAGATACCCAGAAAATGTTTTATATTTCTTAAACTAAAAACAGAAGTATGGCTTTTAGCAAGCGCTTACTTGCGCCCCCTCCACACTAATCCGTTACGAAAACGGAGCTTTTCGAAAACGCTCTTCAAACCGGACGAATTTGAAAACGAAAAACATTTTGAAAAAGGAGCTTTTCGAAAACGATGGCTTCACTATGATCATGTGATTTCCTTGCTCGAGTTTTCCTCAAACACGAATCCAAAATTTAATACTGTTTGCTGCGTTTTCAAATTTCTCCGGCGTAGTGTGAACGGAAAACATTTGATGCGTTTTCAGAGTGAAAACGCCGTTTTCAAAGTTCTCCCACGTACTTCTTCACAGCTCAAGACAGGAAGAAAGCTCTCAGTTTAAAATCCCATGTTCGCGTTATCAGCAGCCACCAACCCGTCCATGTATCGCAATTATCAGGAGACAAGCGAAGTAGTTACGACAGCTCGAAATCTCAAACTCCAGGACAATCTAGTCTAGAAAGCAGTGGACCTGCTGGAATAGAGAGTTCTCTCTTGACGGATAACTTTAAGGAATTGTTGCTAGACCCTGTAGATGTGCAGTTACTGAAGCTGTTGGGACCTGATGCAGAAGATTTTCTACATCCGACCTTCCGCGATGGAGCGAAGAAGACCCTTAATCCGATGGTGGTGCAAAGAAAATGTGAGTATGCGTGCACGTGCGTGTTTTTGCGTGCGGATCGTGTGTGCGGATCGTGCGTGCGGATTGTGCGCGCGAACTTGAGTGCACGCGCGATCTTTGTGGTGCAGAAGAAAACGAATGTTTTGACCCGGTTGTATGGACAACATTTTCGTGCAAATTGACGCACTGCAAGGGAAACGAAAAGCGTTATGGGGCGCAAGGCCAGCCGTATTGCAAAGTGCGGCAACATGTTGTGCGGATAGGAACTACAGTAGGTCAGATTTTTTGCCGCAAATTGCAACGTGGGTGGAGATACGCTCGATAAAGTTTTTTCTCAAGTAATATATCTAACACGAAAGACCGTGTTTGACTACATTTCTAAACCCTAAGAATCCCAACCGGGGGAGGCAGACCCTTGGCAATATTACTAACATGACCGAGGAATTGAACTAGCGAGAAACAATTCCAGCTAAGTCGTCAGAGCGAGACTTGAACCCCGTAACCTCCGGATTTCAAGTCCGGCACCCTATCAGCTCCGCCACGCTACCTCAGGGGAGTGTACTGTATGCAAATGCCATGAAATGAAAAGCATATTTTGTTGTTACTTTTTGATAATCAAGTGAGCGGCGTTGGAGCAAGAGAATTGTGGGGTACGCTGAGGAGAAATTCACAGGTTAAACTAGAAAAACAAGATGACGTAATACCTCTTGATGTTAAGGTAAGAACAGTAATGTGAAGGAGTGGGGAATGGGGTGTAGTATAATTATTATGATTACAAAAAAAAATCGCGGTATTCTGTAACGATACGCAGGCTCTTATCCTTTTGGAATAATTAGTCTAAGAGACAAAGAACTCTTGTCTTATAAACCTCCTTCTTTCGAGAATATAATCCAGTGGTTATGGACTGCAGGGCCTTCATGTAAATCAAAACTAGTATCTTGGCATTGTGGACCTTGTTCTGTATATTACTGTATATCGCTAAGTATACTCGGTGATCTGAGATTTTGATTTAACGACTGTATAGCTTGCTTTGTGTTTCACATGGTTTTCTTTTTGTAAAAACCAAAAGAGTTTTGCCTTGCAGTGTTCTTATCTGTACTTGAAAACAGATGTATTCTCAATCTTTGAAACGCAAAATTTCTTATGATTTAAAGGTTTACACACACAAAAAAGTTAACCTTCCAAATTGAATCCGACCGAAAATGTTCTTTGAAGGAAAAATACGCTCTGGGCTTATTACGGAAAGTGTACTCTCTCTACTCCGAGACCTCTCTCGTGCTACCTTGACCTTGTAGACTGACAGGTCGGAGGCTGGGGAGAGGAAACAAAGAAAGCGCGCGGAGAACGCTTTTCCAGTCGTCTCCCGCACCCCCTCTTCACCTTCCCCTCCCCTCCCCTACCCTAGGGATACCCCGTGGAGGAGATTTTTCTTATAGTTACGATTCTCGCGTACAACTGATTGCTGCGTTTGATTTAGACGATTGTATCACCAATTCTGTTGCTGCTTTTTTCACTTGTCTTCAAATAGCAAATTCATGAAGTGGTGACCCATGTTACTTCGTAATTGCATTTATATTTTTTATTTATTTATATATTTTTTTTTTTTGTGGTCCTCCAGAATGCGTATAAAGCTTTTCTTCGAGAATGCCTCCATAACAACATCCCTACAGTCCGAAGGAGTTTCTGTAAAGATGAGGAAGATGTGAGTAAATATGAACAACAACTTCTATTTGGCGCGAAAATATGCTGGGATATTTTTCCGCGGACATTATCTGTTCCGAGAAGCGAACATAGCTCGAGGAAAGCTGTAAGCTTTACGGAATTTACATTTGATGCATTTTGAGATTGAAGACGCCTTTTTAATTTCTCCTGTATTGTGTTGACGGGGCCTTAAAACGGACGATTTTGGTTACCACTGCTATTTACTAATGATACTTTATCTTCTTATCTTCCTGAAGGTCTTCGAAGAAGATCGTGTAAGCGAGAGTCAGTTAATACAAGACATCAGATTCACCCGGCATCGCCTGGAACTCATGTTTAGAGTGGCTCACATGAACCGTGATAAAACAAAGCTACTGGTGAAAACCATGGACCCAGGGGACCCCTCTGAGGGGACAGTGAGTCGACCTCCGAGGTACAATCCTCAGCAGATACTGGAAATACCGATGGTAAGTGAATCGAATTCAAACGTGCATTTTGAGCGAACTGCTACTGTGCTTTGCATACGTTGACTGCGCCCGCAGTACGAGAGGCAGTCAAAACTGAGCTGTCCTTCCGAAACGACACGACAGTAGTCTTTTTCTTCGCAGCTAACAAAAATATGCATAATGGCGAATGCTAAAGTTGCTTTGGCCTCTTTTAATACTCAACTCGAGAATCCTGGGCTTAAATGAACGAAAAACAATATATTTTGTATAACATAACACAACTATTATCCTACCTGGCGACATTGGACGAGCGACACAGAACCATTCACATTTTTTACCCTTACCCCTACAAACTGATAGCAATGGTTTTTTAGTCTCCTTCGCAGCCGTTATTAGGGTCGTCACGCAACGCTTCTCGCCGTTGCGTGACGACCCTAATAACGGCTGCGAAGGAGACTATGGTTTTTGGAATTATAAATCCCTTTTCGTGAATATTCAATGCCGTGTCCCGAGAGAAATATTGCCCAACTTCAATGCGTTTCCTGTAAACTTACATTGACATCAAGACAGTACAGTTTTTCCCGCGAACTGAATCCTGATTGGTCAATTCCAATTTCAGGCGTACCAGCCGTATGCAAGGGATCTTAGATGTTTATTAATTGTGGTTAAATTCCATTTACGAAGTTTCGTGAAAACTTTTTTCCGTTTGCTTGTAGGAACCAAGCTGCATGCATTTTCCGCTTTTGATATTGATTTTTTCGCATTGATTTTCATTTCTAGGCGAACCGTCTTGCACCATTGCCAGCGCTGGCTTTAACAGACTCGGAGGGGGAACGCCATTCCTTACACGTCCCCGCCTCCCCTCGGGAGACCACCCAGGAACCGGAGAAAGAACAAGACGTTGTTGTCGGGGGAGAAAAAATCAGATTCCTCACTGAAGAAATGGCAACCTGTAGAGGAGAATTTAGCAAACGGCATAAAGCTCCAGGATGCTCCACAGAAATGGCCCCTATTAGTACAGGGCTGCCTAAAAAGGTCAATTTTAGAGGAACTGTCTCGGCCCCTCCAAGTAGCATGGGTGCAAGAGAGGTTAAGAAGAGCAGAGGTAGACCGTGGGAACCGCTCAGTTTAAGTGCTCTGCTGGAGTATAATGCTCCAGTAGGTGCCCCCGGTTGTGGGGACTTTCTTTTAGGTCAAACTAAAACTTGGAAAATACAGTGACAAGATTGTCCTAAAGTGAAGCGACGAGGTGAAAGTCTGCGCTTGCGCTTCGTTCTGCTGACCAAGTAACACTGAAGGCGAAGAGCGGTTCGTGTAAACCATAATAGAATGTCGCCTATCAAATGAACTTGGTGAGCAACGACAGCCGAAAGAGAAGCCATTCCTGAAAGTGTGTTCTCGAACGGGGTCATCGTTTTGTTGGAACTTTGATTAGACTACGTGTACGCCGTCATGGATTGTCCAGCGGTCAGCGTCTTTCCTCGCGTTTTTCGAATCTCGCTCGACTATCTATGTTGGACAAGTGGAACTGTAGTCCAATGTTCAAGAGATACGATTGATGGGTCGATATGCATGTGTGCAACTTCAAAAGAGTGAAAAAGTTTAAAGTTATAGAAATCCTTGATTTCATGTTGTAAATAGCGAGAAGCCAACAAATCACATGAAGTTGCTGTCTTCATGTGAATTGTCACGTGCCAGGGTGACGTGCTAGAGTAACGTGTTAGAGCAAGACGGATATATTTGTGTGCCCAAAAAGAGCTTTGAAAGATATAGTATTTCTATTTTTAATATAAAATCACTTTGTAAATAAAAGGGAAAAAGCTGATCCTACCTTAGTATTGACTTTTGCACTCGTGCTTGGGGGAATTACAATTTAATCGAATTTTCGATCCACGGTTCCTTGACGCCTGGTTATAATTATTTTGCCTTTGGGCTGCTTATTATTCGCACCTTTTTCAGCAAGCGTCCAAATTTGATCTGGTTCTCATATTTCACGATATTCTGAAGGACGCACCGGTATCAGAGTCAGATACAAGCAGTTGTGGATTTCCAGCGGGACAACGTATAGGACAGCACTCGGGTAATGATATGGGAAAATATTGCGAAAGCGTAATGACTGCCGTGTCAATAACGGTCTTAATAATTCTCTGTCATCTCCCAAATTATGCGTTTAAATCGGCGTGTCTTCCAAAGGATACCAAGACATTCATAAAAACCTACAAATAACACCCGTTACAATTTGCATAGCGGAAAGCGTAGGAAATCCTTTGCTTTACATCTCCAGGATGTAAAGGGATTGGCAGAAATTTCGATGATCGATAGGTTGGATGGCTGGAACGTTCCTTAGATTTGAGCTGGCGAACTGAGGTAAATAACGTTCACATACGAAAATGTAGAGCGTTAATTATTTGACCATCTGGCCACCTAACTCTGATTGAATTACGCAACAGACGCAGTAGTTAAATGTCACATTCCCACGAATGCACAAGTGGAGAAGGGAGGGAACCTTTTGTTGGACTTTCGCCGGGGATTTTCGATGTTTAAAACGCCATCACGGGAAACCTTAATTCCAGCTTAGAGCTCGCTCTACAAGATAAGGTATGCATCTCAATGATGATTATAACGTCATAAGAGGCCCTTTAGTTTCACTATTATCTTGAATGGCGTCGTTGAATTTCATAACTCCAGAGATATAGTACTGGGGTAAAATTTCAACATAGGGAAATGAAAAGTTGATATCGCCTTGAAAAGCAAAAGCAACTGGTCGTGCGTTTTTTGTCATGAGCCCACCAGTTTACGACTTAAAATAAAGTTACCTCACCTCACCTCACCTCACCTCACCTCACCTCACCTCACCTCACCTC